AGGATGCAGCTCAGGGCGCTTTTGTACCAGTTTTTCCTGGGAAAAGGCGCTGTCTCTCATTCAGCTTTCCGTGCCACAGGGGAGGCAGGCGTGAGGCAGGTAGCCGGCCTGAAGCCTCATGCCGGGGAGGGACCGGCACGTCTGGGAATCGGTACAGGTAACGGCCACAACAGGCAGCGAAGTGCAGGCTGCAGAGGAGCGCCAACAGCCGCAGTCACCTGATTTCCTCAAGGCAATACATTTATGGGATGCTCTGCAACAGCCGCTGAACTGCTCTTAGTATCTATTTGACAACAGACTCCGAAAGACCACGGCTGTGCCACGGGAAAGCAGAGCGCTAACAAGAATACGAGCTCTGCTGAGGGGCAGCTGTTGCTCGAGTCACGTATCCGACACACGCTGGGGACCACACAACCCTTACACGAACCGGCTCTTCCTCGCAGCGAGGTCCCGCCTTACATTTCCTATGCACCAACAAGCGCGGAGCCGGAGCGGCTCTCGGGGAACACCTCGGCTGTCTGAAATCTGGTGACTGTTACCAGGCAGCTCAGAAACAGAACTTTTTAAAAGAGGAAGGTAACAGTTCCCCATGTATCACGGTTACGATTTATAAGGTTGGCACGAAAGCAGAAGGTGGTGGGGCATGAAGCAGCCGTTATCACGCTTCTTTGTTCTTTCTCCTGGTAAAGTGTTGAGTATGGGCACTCTGCTGTTTATTTTCCTGACACAGTGTTGAACACAGGCACTCTCCTGTTTATTTTCTTTAATTATAGGATCAAGGAGAGAATTGGCAGAGCGTCAGCTTATCCCCACTCTGCCCTGAGCCTGCGAGCTCGGCTATGTGAGAGCAGTGACAGCCACCCCTCTGGGCCTGCCCCCAGCCTGGCACACGTACCTCACCGCCCGTCCCGGCTCCTCTACGTGCCACACATCTTCGGGGAAAGGAAACCCCAGCAGGAGAGGGCTGCGGCGGTATTTCCAAATACCCGCTCCTCCCTCCAAAGGGAGCCTTTCCAATTACCTGCTTCTCCCGCTTCCGGGCTCTCCCGGCCCGTTTTGCTGGAGCCTCGACTCGTGGATTCGGGGCTGGCAGCTCCGACAAACAGTTTCCATTTCCCTCGCTTGGAGGCCAGCCTGCGGGTTGCATCCTGTGAAGCCGACTGGCTCCCGTCGGAGAGCGGGCTGGAGCCCGAAATGCTGCCATCGCCTTCCTCCAAGGCACGCAGCTCTGCCTGCCAAGAGACACGACAGCAAGGGGCACTTCAGGGACCTGAGCCTCCCCCGAAGAGCAGCGGTGGTTACGAGTGACCCAGGAAAGAAGAGCAAAGAGATGCTCTGATCAGGGCACCACGTTAACGGTAGTGAAGACGGAGTGAGAGTTTGCCAACGGCTGCTGACTCGTCAGCAGTGTCCATGTGAAACTGCAGCCGATCAGCACCCAGATCTATACGGAGCCCAAGCCCATGTAGGATTGGCACAGGAAACGCAGGGTTACTCTCCCAAAGGGGGCAGGACAGAGATACAAACATCTGCTGCTCCCGGTTTATTTCTAGCTATTCCTTGGTTGTACTTGTGGCTTCCACCTTCCATGACAAAAACGTTTCCCCTTACCTTCTTTCTCTCCAGCACCATCTCCAGCTCGAGGGTGTCTTGCTCTTCCTCTTCCTCAGCACTCTCCCCCGACTGCACCACGCTGCACAGATCCTCCTGCAGCGTGTCTTCCAGGGGATCCCTGCCAGGCTCCGGCTCTTCGGGGGCAGCTGCCACCTCTTCTGCTTTCGCCTCCTCTTCCGGAGGTGGCTCGACCTCCTCTTTGCAGATCACCTTTCTCCTCCAGCGCTCCTCTTCCTCCTTCACCACATCAGGCAGGAGCGGTGCCAAAAGGGCTGCAGCCACCCCCTTCTTCTCCTCCTCACTGTTGGAGAGGGCCTGCACGCCTTCGTTCACTTCCTGCAGGTCGAGCTCTGCGTGAGCTTTACGGCACTGCCCCCTCACCCCAGCCCTACACCTTCCCCAAGCAGCGAAGGAGACCGCAGCCCACAGAGGAAGAAGCCCAGGCGGCCCCGTGCTCCCGGGGCCCCTCTTCAGGCCGCGAATGGAGCAGAGCGACCCAGTTGCTGCCGAGGAAGCCCAAAGGGGCTCCCACAAGCCCCTACGGCAACCAAAACCAGGTGCTTGGCCCATCTGACTGACCTTCTTCACCTCCCGCTTGGTGAGGCTGGCCCCACGGCCGAGGCTGCCCGGGGCAGCTCCCTTCTCCTGGGGGTACAGC